TCAATCAATCAATTATTTGCCCGTCCCTCCTTAAGAGACATTTAGCTGTCATTCTACTTGAATGACGTTCAACCTTTACTAATTAAACTGTTTTCCTTTCGCCTGAAACAGGCTTTCAGTATTTGACTTGGCTCGTAATCGTTCAATCGCTTATAAACTGTTCTTAAAAGTGTCTTCATAGGTTGACCTTTTCTTTTCCTTTTTACATCTGAAAACGTTAGTTTCTTAATGTATCTTATATTTGATGAACGTACGATGTGCGAGAACCATTTTAGTTGTTGATTATGGACAAATTCCTCCAATGGTGTTGCCATACTGTATTGTATAATTTGCTGGTTATTTAAGGTAAAATACATATCTGTATCTTGTGAGGTAGTTGTGGAATCACTAGCTTGGGGTGCCTTTCTCTTGTGTCCTCCTCTAAATTATGTAGATAGTAATTGTATGTAGCAGTAAAAGTGTTCAGAGAAGCTTCTGGTAACGACCAAGTCTGGCATGAATACGTAAGTTTACTTCTAAACATAGAGTCGAATATCTTTCTTCTTGTTACAAGCGAGACAGCGTGAATAGTTCATCTTTAAAATAGGTGTTAATAGCCGAGAACTTTGTTGTCGTTATCTCGCAGTTTGGGGTATATGCCTCATTGTATGTGAAATTCTGTCCAAGGTAAGTAAAAGTCTCGATGTTTTTGAGATGCTCATTGTTAATTGTACAAATCGTCTCAGGATATGTTGYCTCATCATACTTATCAGACATAACCATGGTTCTAGTTTTGTCCAGCGACATCTGCAGGCCAAATCTTGTTAATATATTTTAGAGATTTTCCATGACAGTTTGGAGTTTTACAGCTGAGTTAGTTATTATAGCCAAGTCATCTGCATATCCAAGCCATAATAGAGATAGTACTCCAGAGCCCTTCTCTTCTGAACGTTGTGAACGATCACTTGCTTCGTTGGGTWTTCTGTAAGGAATGGTGATATGTAGGTTTTCGTGTTGACATTCGTGCTCAAAGATTCGTAATATATAGTCAAGATATAAGTTSAAACAGTATGGGCTTTCACAGCCACCTTGTCTTACGCCACTTGTTGTTTTAAAAGCCTCTTCGTTTTCTTCACCTGACNCTTGTCATATAGCGTCTCCTTCTCCTGCTTGAGTTGACATTTTCCACACTCTAAATGACGCTCAAGGGAACTATATCGCTGTTATACGCGAATACATCCTTCTACAGGGCAGCTAAACAGCTTCGGGCTGGAGTCACCGGTACCCTCGTCGACGTCACTGTCACTTTCATCACAATCTGGATCTTCCGAAGCCAGAACACGACTTTTACGTATTGCTCTGGAGGCAATATTTTCAAAGTCGCCAGCGCTGAATGGACTTTGAAATTTGACCGTTGTCAGTGTTTCGGGCGCTGCAAAATACAAACTTGTGCAGTTAAAATCTGCAGATAGAAAAATAATCACTTAGCACATAACAATATATTCAACGATATTGATGATGATGTTGATAATGATGATGGTCATGATGGTCAATTATGCTGCTGATACCTTTGAGACTCGACCACTTTTCAGTCTTTCCTTTACCTATCCCATAGGCCCTCCAGCARGTTAGACCATSTTCACTATAGCTAAAGTTATTCAGCATGCTGATTCCCTCCAGTTTACCCGTGTTGATGCTAGTAGCAGAACCTGCATCTACCAATGCTACTCGTACCCCTCGAACAMCTTCACCCGATGTAATGGCTTTGTATAGGTCTTCAGGAGTCTCGACATCATTGCCTTCATTTAGATGGCGTCTTATATGGGCCTTGATGTTAGCTGCCTTTCAGTCACACGACCCTTTACCTCCTTGTGGTTCACTGAAGTCTACTCTAGCGACCTTGAGAACAAAAGATAAAGCTTCAGTGAGCTACTTATGGATATCTATTTCAAGCATGCATACTCACTTCAAAACAGAAGAATAGAAAAGAAAAACACATGCTTTATTATCTTTATTCGCCTGACTCGTCACCAATCGTTTTTCATTCGGGGCTCTCAAAGCATCAATGAATGTAAAGAGGAAAGAGGAGAGACCTCTCCTTCTCTAAACGCGCGGTGGAAACGGCCTAGACGACTGGGACGAGTCTGTTTATTTAGATTATAGATTTTAGAAACAGGAAAGGAGTAATATTTAGATATAAACGCCGTTATCTTCTCTGCTGGAGTAAAATCAATGCGATACATAATAAATAGTGCTTTATTATAAGACGTGTACTTTTGTACTTTGTGTGATTAAAACATAGCTTTAAATGTATCAACACCGCAAGTACCTTGATGCCAGTTGACTTTTCCATTAGGTGGCATGCGATAATCAGGGGGACGCTATGGTAACAGCCAGCATTGTCATGACGGTAGTAAGCTGTATTGATATCGGGATTCTCCTGCTTGATTGTACAGAGTGTATGCTCCATTATTGGAATAACAGTGTYTGTGTCCTGATTGCAGTTCTTTKCAATATGGACGAACGTCTGTTGTTGTAGCTCCCCTGTAGGCGACTTTTGATTGACAACAGAAATGTGCCATGAAATTCCTCTTTTCCCAAACCAGTTTGATTGCGTCTCTCTATACTTCTGTGGGAGGAATTTCATGGCCCAATCTTCTGTTATCATCACTTCATTGGAGGTAAGGTTAGCAATGGTTGTGTGACGCGGAATATCTTGCTGGACAAACCTAACTTCGTGAGATTTCCATGCAAAAATAGCATCAATAGCTTGACTGCATCTGAATGATATGTCATTAAACTGGTCAATAGAAAGGATGCTCTTACTCTCAGTTACAGTATCCTTGATATCATCAAGAACTGTCTTCAATTCTTCGCATGAACAGCACGACATGTCATGTTGATGGCTGCATGGACGGCAAACTTGTCTTGTTTTGGGCTACTAAGGGCATGTTTTAAACAGTGGTCAGGTACTTGACTCGCATCTGCTATATGAACCTGAAAGAAATAGCGAGCATATGTATATATTATATAGTATATACAGTAACTATGACTGATTGCATTATCCATCTGTTACCTTGAAGTCTGCCTTTATGTATTGTTTGCCTTCTCTCAGAGCTCGTTCGCAGTTTTCTGCCCATTCGTGGTCATGAACTTGTTGGACCTCCTTCACTATTTTACTTAGGTCATCGAAGGCTTTGGAACCATCTGCATGGTAGTAGTCGAGCCCCTGCAACGACTTCCTTTCTGTTGCAGCGCACGCTGTTAGTGTGCGCCTCATTGTCGCNCGTATTCGACAAATACGACTTGTTGGTAGAGGTGCTCCTCTTCCGTATTGTAATCTGTGTACGCGAGCCATCTTCCACCGATATTCTGTCAGCCTGGGAATATATTTCCGGATCTCATTCAGCGACAGGAGATCGGCCATTATTGATAGAACTTGTCTTCTGGTGTCCCAGCTCATTGCGTTTCTATATGTCTCTGCTAAAGCTGAAACATACTTTTCATCTGCGTGAGGCAAAACTCCAAGAGCTTCGTCAACCTTTTTCGATTCTTGGACAGCTTTCCACAGAAGGCCGCCATCTCCTGGTGTAATGACGTCCAGTGCTGCCACAATGACATTTGTAGCCTTTGATACGTGTGACATRTGTGCTCTGGTAGTCATCGATTCCCACCTTTTCTTSGTTGGGCCAATAAGCGTGTCTTCCTTACCACTAGTGATCAGAAAATGGTTCAGCGCATGTCTGCGAGCAGAAGCTTCACTCGATGTCACAGCTGTCAATTGGTCTTCRGATGATCCTGAGCTTAATGTACCTTCTGAAAAAATRAYATTCGGGTCCTTGCTGGTGTCKTCATGGATTCSAAGTTGGCTTAATCCTTCAGTCAAGGAGTCGCAASTATCGCTGCTTGTTTTGTCTGTTTTCTACGAAAGATAAGCAACTCGTAATRAGTAAATGTTGTTATAATTGTAGCAAGATTTGSAATCTCTGTAAGTATATGGTATATCATCAATATTCAGCAAATGCAGGTCTCGTAATCAATTAGAGCAGGATTGCAAGTTCAAATTATAACTAAATGTATTGCTGACTGCTGACACTTCAAGRTGCCGCAAGGCGATAGTCGACTGCATCTGCAACATCGCAATRAACGCAGTTTACWTGTGCGCAATCTCTACCTTGTCATTATCTGAGCTGGCATGTCCGCTGCTTTCTTCAACCTTTTTTTCAGGAGTCTCTTGAACTGCTTGTTTTTCTACTGTACTAGAAGCCGACATTTCATCAACTGGTTGTGTAGATGTTGACTCTGTTGATGCTTGGTCTAAATTCTCTCTACAGCGCCTGCAAATTGCTATACAAAAATTCAAAAYGTCAGCAAAATATAAAAATACATAACTATAACATTTATGTGATGCAAGTATACGTACGTGAACCAACAGGAATTAGCTGGCCAGTGTTTTCAAAGAAACGCTTAGATTGGATGGAKGATATACCCCTATCTCCTTTGCYTGCTTTCTTGTGATGCGTCGCCCACGTGCTCGGCATTGTGCAGTTTCGTCTGTTGCACCGCCATCGTATGCCACATGAATCTCTGTGCCGGGGGCAGACCGTGATATGTTGGTAATTTTGCAATTGAGATGCATCAAATAAACCTGAACAAGGCGGACAAAATTTAGCTCATTACGGCGTGCATATAAGCAACTATAAGGAAGTGCAYTAATATTTTGCATACACGTACCGGCTCTAGCTAGAATCAGTTGAGATTCTGACACCAAAGAACCGTCCCGTACATTCAGCGACCGCAAGTGACCTTGTATTCTTTTATTACAAACGCTTAGTGGAACATACTCTACATTGGCATAGTTATCAAGATTAGCGCCGCATGTCCCACCAACAGGGGAGGATAAACCACAAGAAGCCATTCCACATACATACAGACCATATAGTCTTGGAATCCAGCCTCTATAAAGATACGACAATCCGTCAGTATAGACTGCAAGAGCATAACACAATTGATAACAAAGATAAAAACTGAAAAACACCACAGCTTACCCTATAGAGTTTACATCAGTTTCTTGAAGAAACGAAATACTCAGCTAGCTTTATACCTATATTTCGGGCGTTAAAAAAATAAATACAGTATAAGGGGACATTTTCAAGACACGAAAGTAGCCAAGTAGTCATATAATCAAAGTGTCCTTCACTTACCTATAGAATGTTGCTCATTAAATAAGCACTTGATGTAAGTTTTTTTGTTTGAAGTAACTCTTGTAAARCTCAACTTCGAAACGGCTGTCTCAGAAGTAAAACAATCGAAGATATGTACGTACTACAGTCGTGTGAACAGTGTATMCTTTGYATGARCAACTTACGCAATGATTTGAAAGCAGGTGTGAAAACATTTTGTAGACGAAAAAACAACAACGTCCAGACAGGAAGACAGACGGGGAGATCCAAAGACAGATGGCTTCTATTAAGGCATTTATATATTGTGGAGAGTAAAGATGTCTTACAAAAGCATACATGCAAACAAGCTAAAAAAGAAATCTGAATTGCCTTAAAATTTTCAGGATTGCTGTCTTAGCAATGAAAACCACATTGGCACTTTCCTAATTCATTAATTTCCAAACGTTGTCTTCGATTTTTCATCAGTGCTTTAGATCAGGCACCCCGTTCTGTTCGCACATTGTTCGCGAATTGTTCGCGTTCATCGATGTTCGCGAACATGTCTGATCACAGGGACCGCGGAGCAAGGGGGGCTGGGGGCCCCAATAATATTTCCGACATTTTGAATTTTCTTAAATAAAGAAATGAAGAGCCTCCTTATGACCGTGTCTGCGGTAAATATGTCTTGGATAACCTCTCAAAACGCTGGAAATGGCATTTCCGAGAGTTAAGATTTCAGAAATTTCCGAACCACCCCTAGTACCTCCTCACCGCTAGCCTCCCCCCCAAACAAAATCCCGCTCCGCGGTTCCTGGATCGTTACTGTTCGCGAACACATCTTGATCTGAAAAGATATTACTTCGCAGTACCGGCCGCGAGTAAAGTAGCAGACACTCTAGCATAAATTGCAATCAGTCACATTGTAAAAAGAGTGACCTAATTTTACACGATTACCGACGAAACCTGTAGCAAAGTAAAGTGTTGATCACACCATTCAGGATCATTTGCCAAAATATTTGTTTTTTGCAATTATTTGAGCACGCTATACACGAAATCGACTATAATTCACGTCCGTCATGGTGACCTTAAGCATTTAAGAGAAGATGTCACGAAGAATCAGACAAATTCAAAAATGACCGGCAACAGTCAAAAAATCAAATTGGCTCATATTTTATTATTTGGTAGGCCTATAGGTAAAACAAACCAAGGCATATTTAGTTTGTTGAAAAATATTTTTATTTCCGAGAAAATCGAGAATATTCAGTTCACGCATGATTAACGCTATCCGAGGGTTGGATTATAGCCCAAATTTAGAGAATTCGTTTGCACCTTTAAAAGCAACGAATACCTCTCAAATTTCACAGACTTTAAAAACAATGTCTTTCCTGTGTTTTCACCATAAATTAGAATCCATATTTAAATTTTATACTTTAGTTACAGATTCATTTATGTGTGAGACTAAAATGCCGTGTACAAAGTAGGCTAACTTCAAACAAATATTTTTCAATGTGCTAAGTGAAATGTTAGTTTGATATTTAATATTTGAGAGCTAGAAACAATAAAATTATCTTTGGACCGGTTATTTTTCTGGGTTTTTTGTCCTGTTACGCAAACGAGGACTTCAAATTTGAAGTAATTTCGTGTCTTCGGCTAGATCGGCGACATAAAAGAAAACGTCAACTTTGTCTTCGATCTTTGCCGCATTTTTTGAATAAAAAAGTAGCTATAATCAATATTGAAATACGATGAATACCGTTTAGATAGTACTTGTAGTATAACTGAGTTTTGTTTGTTCATATGAATACAGTAACTATATTTTAATTTGATGAATAAATAAACACCTGAAGTAACGCAACGGTTCGATTTATATTTTTACATTTCCCTTTCTGTTATAGATCAGCGACAGAAAAGAAAACGCCAACTTTGTTTATCTTTACACTTGTAAATTCGAGTAAATAGAATTGATATTGAAATACTATAAATGATTCTTATAATACAGCAGAATTTGTTTTTCATATAAATAAATT